GAAACGTCATTGTACACCTAACCCTTAACTGTACCCCACAAAACCATAATAAAAAATACACAGGAGGCCACTGCCTCCCCTCACCCTGTTGCAGACCCTAAAATAGTCATCTTGGCTTTTCTCAAGAGCTGGGAATTTGGATTCATGTTTTAAGAAAACTATAGCGAAAAGAACATTTTCCTCAGGTATCTCAATTAACAAGTTGTTATGTACATCCACTTTTTACAAAGATGACTGTCACATTCTGGGGAGATCCAACAATGTTTTGAGCCCGAGGTGCTCCTACCTGGTCTTACATGGGAAAAGTCAAGGTCACTGGCGGGGAGGTGTCATGAGTCTTTGAGCCTTGGCCACTGCAGAATGTTGTTTTTACAATTGGCATTGTCTGAACCTGTCCAATCTTGGAAAGCTAAGCACTTGTGAGTTGACAGTTTTATAGTGTGGTTAGCTTGGTGCACAAAGTCACCTTGGTCCCTCAGATTTTGGGAGTTTGTAATGCTCTTTTCGTTTGTTTGTTTTTCTCTTTGTGGATTCTGCTTTTCAGGTTCCCAGGAACTCTGTGTGCTATGTGTCCCAGAGAACACTCATAAATGGCTGGGGTCCCCTTCTCAGCAGCACTTCTCTGAGGGTAGTAATTCATGATGCACTCTCACACGTGTATGGGTTCTCCTCAGCCCCTGGTCACCTGCAGGGACTCAGTCAAGCACTTATGAACTATCTTTGGATCCATGTGGGTGAGGGACTCACCCGAAGCATAGTGTAAGTCTCTTTTTTTTTGTAGTTTTACTTCCTCTGCTTACTTTTTTTTCCATTTTTATTTTAGATTCAGGGGATACACTTGCATGTTTGTTACATGGACACATTGTGTAGTGGTAGGGATTGAGTCTTAGGTGGCTCATTCCCCAAATAGTTAACTTTGTACCCAATAGGTAACTTCTGAACCCTAACCCTCCTCCCCACCTACCCACTTTTGGTGTCCTCAGTGTCTATGATTTCCATCTTTGTGACCATTTAGTTCCTTCATATAAGTGTGAACATGTAGTGTTTGGTTAACTACTTCTGAGTCAGTTCACTCAGGATGATAATCCTCAGCTCCATTTATGTTGCTGCAAAGGACATGATTTCATTCTTTTTTTTTTTTGAGTTGGAGTCTCACTCAGTTGCCCAGACTGGAGTGCAGTGGCTGC